ACTTTAACCGCAGGGGTAATTTTTTTTTTTTTGTTTTTTGTTTCGGAATTTGAGATCAGTTGTTTTGTTTTAGCACTGGGATTTGCCGAGTAAATAAAGAGCTAGTCGATGTAAACTCAAGTTATAAGCAGGTTATCAGTGGATTAGGCAGGGAGATACCTTCCCCAAACGGGAAAGCTATTCGAGGAGCAATTCAAACGGATGCGGCTATTAATGCCGGTAAATTCGTCTATTTTATTTTATTTTTTTAAAATAATTTCCGGAATTTTTGTACGACATATAGTTCGATCCTGTTATTCGTGATTTGGTTACTTCATTTGCACGACTGCACTAAAAATAAAAACTTTAACTTCAATGGTTAATTTTAAGTTGCACTGTGTTTGTAAAGGATTCTCTGTGTGTGTGTGTGTGTGTGTATATATATATTTCCATTCAGAATTCGATCTCTTGTGCAGGGAATTCGGGTGGGCCGTTGATTGATTCTCACGGGCATGTTATTGGAGTTAATACGGCAACTTTCACACGTAAAGGTGAGTACTTTATTACATGATTGAATGAAAATCGAAACTTGTATTATATATTCTTTCAAGAAAATCAATTGAAATTGCTTTATTTTCTTAATTTTGTTTTTCTATTATTATTACTTACATTTATGCGAAGCCGAACAATGAATGCAGGTAGTGGAACATCGTCTGGGGTGAATTTCGCAATACCAATCGACTCAGCTCTTCGAATCGTGCCTTATCTTATTGTGTACGGGACTCCATATGTAGACCGATACTGAAAGATCATCGGATAATAGTTAATAGATAAATACTGACCTTTTTTTATTCTTTACTAGCTTTCAAACTGGTTTTCATGAAGATCATGAATCCAGTGTTGTAGTTCATATGCTCCAAGCTTCAAAATTCAACGTAATTTTTGTGTTGTAACTACCAACGTTACATAATACAATCAAAACTTCGAAACAACGATTATCAAGACTTCATTTTTCGTGCCATGTTGTCTGTATTCAAACAAAAATAATCCCAACCAAAAAATCAATGTTCGAAAACTATTTGTACATCACAGGCTAGGGTTCTTGCGCCTCGAACAAGAATAATCCAAACAAGTTCAAATGATTATCTACCACCACTAGTGCTGCTAAATTAAAGCTCGAGCTCGAGCTCGTTAAGGTTTGAATTTGTCTCGGCTCGTTTATCAAATGAGTAGAGCTTGAGCTCATTTAAAACTCATTTGGTTAACAAGTTAATTTTAGCTCGACTTGATAAGACTCGTTGAGGCTCAAAAAGAATTTTTTATATATTTTTCTATAGTCTTGCTCGTTAAAGCTCGAGTTCGACTTGTTAAAGTTCGAATTCGGCTCTTTATTAGAGATAAACGAGCCGAGTTATACGTGATTTCAAACTCGCTCGGGTCGTCTCGTTTACAGGCCTATCTACCACATAACAGCTTAACAAACATTGAGATGATTGCATCGAAACCATTCCATACCAAAGTAAATATTCGACATAAATAAATTGAACTCACTTTATTAATCTTTTTTCCAAGATTTGTAACCAAGCAACTACTGCGAACCAGTAACACTGACTGGGCACAGGAAGAAGCTTACACACAGCTTTTACACATTAGCACAAAGAAGCAAAATTTAGATACAAAATTGGTCATTTGAGGGACAATAAAGAGAGCTGCTCCTCATCCGAACAATCCACATGGCAAGAAGTTCGGCAAGAAAACGGGATAAGGATAAGGCCCACGACCCTCTGATCCATAGGTGATGGAGAAGTTCGTCTCGTGCTTCGATACTCAACGGCATCTTGGAGAATGATATTTCCCTGTTTGTCCATACAGTAAAACGAGCCTACGAAAAATCGACCGTCCTTAATTCCCACTAACATTCTGTGGTATATCAGCTTCTTTGCCTGAGCCACAAATTTTGAGGTTGTCTGGTTTGATGAACTTTCCATTAACTTCCTAGTTTTGAACCTAATGAGTAAGGTCATGGAGAAAAAAATATAGATAAAATAAAAGTTCAATTGAAGAAAATACACATTTATAAATTATAAAAGGTACCACCAAAGTTTAGTGAGACTATGTTAATTCATAAATTCAGAGCACAAAAAAACAGATAGGAAGCGGTATTTGATAAGATTTATGGGACTTAGCTGAGTATCATATCATCGAGTGTATTTTCATTAATTCAATTTCGGTTACAAAGAGTATCTAAGAGTCGCTACATAATTGTAACACTGCTGTAAGCGTATCTAAGAGTCGCTACATAAGATTCTTTGAGATCTCCGAAAATAACTGCCAATTATGTACTTTTTTTTGCTGATCAAGAGTTCAATCAGCTCAAGAGAAAAGGGCAAGTTCGATACTACTGACCTTATCGTTTTTTAACCGTTGGATCACACAAAGTCACACACACACATTGGTGTGTGTTGATCCAACAGTTAAACACCCCTTGCAGGTAGTTTACCAGAAAAAGGCAACCCGAGAAAAAAAAAAAAAATCCTACTCTACCTCAATTTCAACATAACTCTACCAAAATATGACAAAATTGCAACTTTAGTCATGTTGGTTTGATCTAGTGGCGTTTTCAGTCCTAAGAATTTGAACATTTTTGTTATTTGGTACTATGATTTTAAAATTCAACGCAATTTCAATCATTTGGGACTGAAAATACAACAAAATTTAAAATTACAGGACTATTGCTAATAATTTTTTTTTTTTGCATTTTCAGTTCCAAATGACTCAAATGCAGCAAAATACTAAATTACTGAATCAAAAAACAAAAAGTTGAAATCTTGGAACTAAAAATGCTACAGCGTGAAACAGGACTAAAAATGCAATTTTGCCCCACAATATTGAGTTGACAAAAGAACACTACTACTTTAATCCCAAATGAAACAAGCTGGGGTGTGATCCAAAATGTGAACTAAACAAAGGTATCCCCCACAAAACTCCATTGCCAAGAAAATTAAACCTTCTCTTACACAGCCTTTGGAGACCAAACAATAAAAATTCCAGCTTTGAACAATGTCTTACGATGGAGCAAAAAGCTCGATAAAGTCCACTAATTGGTAACAGAAACATCAGCAAATATAAATTCAACAACAAATACAAAAAAAATTCAATCTTGAGCAAAAAGTAAACATCAAATCGACTCAGCCATTGAACGCGGAAATGAAAAAACTCACCGGGTTAAAAAAATTCAAGAATCGGTGAAAGATCGTTCCAAGCTGCTCGAACACGACGAAAATAATCTAGGGATTTTTTTTCATCAAATTCCCAAATCCCATATATGTCCCATGTAATTGGGCTTCCTGAGCTAAATCTTAATAACAGGACTGTATTATGGCCGAATATATAACCCAAGCCTTGAACCGGCCCATAACATAAGAAGCCCAAATCCGTCCAAGCCCAGATAATAATCATATGACAGACAGCCTAGGATAGGAACAAACATCTAACGTAGCTGCCGTCGTCCCGACATTAATCTATTCACCTGAATCGAATTGGGATTCTATAGCAGCTCGTGTAATTCAACAGGGAATCGTTTCACTCATCAGGTAAGATTATTTTCGTATTAGGGTTTCTCTTTTTTTGCTGAAAAGTTCTGTTCTTTAGTGTTTTCGGCTCTGGGCCCTTCTTCTTCCTTCAGATTTAGAAGTAAAGAGGCTCGTTTTTCCCCCCCTTTTTCTTGTTAATTTGTATAATTGTATTCGTGAATTGTGAGCTGTTGATTACTCACAGGTTTTCCCTTGTTCTTTCTCAATTTATACGATTTTTGGGTCTGTTCTTGGATTAGTGAACTGCGCATATCTGATTATGAGTGTTTTATGCATATAAACAAGCTAAAGTTCTCCTTTTGATATAAGGGTTTAGTGTGTCATAACTTGTGAACATCTGTAGATGTATATAATCTCCGTTGTTGTATTAGTGCTGTTTATTTGTGCTTGATTTTGAATGCAGTCAGTTTTTTCACGGTTGGTTTTAGGGAAAAACGCTCGTTTACTGTACAAATGGGCGAAAAGGGAAAACGCTCACACTCATACAGGGATGATGACCGAAAGAATCAGAAGAGGAGAACTGATAACAGGGAAAGAGAAAGGGACCGAGATGAAAAGGGCAACGATGAGCTAATTGTATACAGAATCCTTTGTCCCGATACAGTTATCGGCAGCGTAATTGGTAAAAACGGGAAGGTAATAAATACAATTCGACAAGACTCGAGGGCAAAGGTGAAAGTGGTGGACCCATTTCCAGGTGCTAAAGATCGAGTAATTTTAATTTATTGCTACGTGAAGGAAAAGCTCGATTTGGAGGTAGACGATGAATTCAATGATAGCAAGCCTCTTTGTCCGGCGCAAGATGCACTGCTCAAGGTACAAGCGGCGATTGTCAATGCTGTTTCTGTGCCTGGAGATTCGGACAGGAGGAGGAGAGAGAATGATAGAGAGAGAGAGGAATGCCAGCTTCTTGTTCCGTCTAGCCAGTCGGCTAATCTTATCGGCAAATCTGGTGTGACCATTAAGAAGCTGAGGAACAAGACACGGGCGAATATCAAGGTTACCCCTAAGGATGCTGGTGATCCGGCTCATTCATGTGCCTTGGAGTTCGACAATTTTATTTTGGTTTGTTCTCTCTCTCTCTCTCCAAATAAATCCACTCGAAATGAGTTTTTTCGACTAGGGTTAATTTTGAAAAAGTTGGATGTTTACTTATTAGTGGGATTTCGATTTTATAATCAAATAATATTTAGAATAAAATAACTAAAATTGATTTAATGTTAAAGTAGGAGAGAAATGAAGTGAAGTGATAGTTAGTTAAAATTATGTGAATGAGTGGATAGTGAATTAAAAGTTGATGTGATGTTTAAAATTGATTTGAATTATATTGATACTATTGAGGATAGCGGGGTCGGGTTAAAGTTGAGTTAGATTTATTACTTTGTAAAGGAACTTGCTGTAAAGCACTCTCAGTTGATGTGTTATCTATACAATTACTTGAGATGATCACCAGTACAAAAAAAATGTAGCCTTTTTTTCGCCATTATTTTGATATTGTTTGTTTTGTCTAAATCGTTGATAGATATCTGGCGAGTCCGAATCGGTGAGGAAAGCACTTTTTGCCGTTTCTGCAATAATGTACAAGTTTGCACCCAAGGAAAAAATCCCTCTCGATACTTCGATTCCCGAGGCGGCTCCACCTGGCATCATTATCCCATCAGATGTTCCTTTATATCCCGGTACTGGATTCTACCCGAGTGTGGATCCTATCAACCCTTCTAGATCATTGTCTTCCATTTTAGGCCATTCACTCGCACCAGATATAACGGGATATGCTGATACTGGGAGCACTTGGCCACAAGTGTATTCATCTGCTCTTCCAGTGGTGTCGAATTATGGTGGTAGGTCTCAATCTGAAGAGTTGACTGTGAAAGTGTTGTGCCCATCGAACAAGATTGGTCGTGTTATTGGCAAAGGAGGGGCTTCGATTAAAAATATAAGGCAAGAAAGTGGTGCTAGAGTTGAAGTGGATGATCCTAAGTCCAATCAGAAGGAGTGTTTGGTAAATGTGATATCCATGGAGGTGAGATCCACATTTGTTCTCTCTCTCTCTCTATATATATATATATACATAGGGGAGGATCCAATGAGTCCACTCCTTAAAATGAGTACACTCCTTAAAATGAGTTCACTCCTTAAAATATATATTAATTAAATAATAAAATAATTATTAGTTGACTCCGGCGTTGACCGTTGACTTCCGGCGTTGACCGTTGACTTCCGGCGAAAATCGTTGACTTTCGACGTCCGGCGTTGACTTCCGGCGTTGATCGTGACTTCCGGCGTTGACCCGTTGACCCCTAGTATGCATCATATGTATGAAGTAAATATGCATCCAGTACCATGCATTCAGTATGAGCTAAATATGCATGGGATATGAATTGCACATGCAGTCCTTATGAACTAAATATGCACCAATAATATCAACTAAGTATGCACCTGTTATGAACTAAATATGCATCTGTTATGAACTAAATATGCATCATGAATGAACTAAATATGCAGCGAAAAATATGCAATAAAAATGTACATTTTATATAGGTAATTTATGATGCATATTTAGTTAATTTATAATGAATATTTAGGTAATTTATGATACATATTTAGTTAATACGAAATGCATACTTGTTATATTTAAATTAAATATATAATAATATTTATATAATTAATTTATTATGCATATTTACTTAATTCATGGTACATATTTAGTTCTTACGAAATGCATATTTAGTTCATGAACAGTGCAGACCTATTTTATTTGAGATCCAATCATAACAATTTATTTGTGTTATTAATCAATTTAAAATTAAAATTAATTATATAATATAAATTATTTGTGTTATTAACTAAATATGCATCATGAATGAACTAAATATGCAGCGAAAAAATATGCAATAAAATGTACATTTTATATAGTTAATTTATGATGCATATTTAGTTAATTTATTGTGAATATATAGGTAATTTATGATGCATGTTTAGTTAATACAAAATGTATATTTGTTATATTTAAATTAAATATATAACGATATTTATATAGTTAATTTATGATGCATATTTAGTTTATTCATGATACATATTTAGTTCTTACGAAATGCATATTTAGTTCAT